TTCATTTTTATACAGGTGATGTTGTGTCATTAGCAGAGATACACGATTGAACATTGGCTGAATTGAACTGTCAATAGACAATCAATCGAGTTGTCAACAGAATTGTCAACGGAATGGAAACTGTTCAGGTTTCAAATCAAGTTATTAGCGAAGAAACATGATATTTTTTCATCTGTTTTGATTTTTTCTGAGGAAATGTTTTTTTTTTGAGCAAACAAAGGGGAAGTTCGCGAAATTCGTGACAAATTTTTGCAAGGTTTTGGTTTTAAAGATATATAAAGATATATTTAAGTTTATATTCATTAGGATAAGTGGGAAGGACAATGAAAAAATTGAAAATTTGATTTAATGAATCACAGGTCGACGAAAAGAACTTGTAGTGGAATATTTGAACGATTAGCTTAGCAGATCCTACAAAAATTTCGAGCTAAGCATCTACGAATATATGATCTTGGGAATGTTTGTATGATGCGATAGGTTATTTGGAAAGTTTGGTGCTGTGTATAAAATGAAACTGCTATTCTTCAGCGAATGACTGAGAATCGGTACGGCTCAAAATTGGGGCAAATTGATTTTTTCGAGTCCATTTTTCGAGTCCAAACCCTAGTTACTTTCTAATTGGCTCTTGTTTTGGAGAATGATACTCGAGTTTAATCGACATTTCCGAATCAATTTCTGACAAGCATAAAGCTGCAAAACTTCTCTATTAATCGATAACTCTCTGATCTGCATGCAAACATGAATGATTTCATACTGAATTCTTCAGATTGGTGAATCTATTTCATCTTCATTAATCTAATGAGTGCATTCTGCAAACCGAAAACATACGGTGCATTCTGCAAACCGAAAATCTGAATCGCAATCCATCACTTCCACCACAATTTCACATTTGCTTCAACTTCAACCCTTTCCTCAGTTGGCTTTCAACTGATTGTAATATTTTGATCAGCGTTTTCTAATCTATTTGATCATATGATAATAACATATGAAGCTTTGGTAATGATTAATTTTGGAATCAGTCGACGATATTTCTTGGTTACTACTTTGAAAAATTACCCATAAATACTTTTGAATATAAAGAGTGATCTTATGACTTGTCATGTGCCTTTCGTTGCTGTCAATAGGAAAAAAAATGAAAGAACAGGTGAAGATGTGAAGTAGTCGAATGCTGATTAGTGCTCACTGATTAATGATAATGTGAACTTTTGAAGAGGCAAACACTGATAAGATGAGAACCTTTATGAGACACTCTTATTTTTTGTGAGAATTATGAGATTGTTTGCGTGTTCAAATGTCAGCAATCCTTTAGAAAGAAAATAGATTCGATCATTTGAAATTCTAATATTAGATCGATAGTGATAATATTGAATTGTGCTCAGAAGTTTGTTTCGAGCCTTCGCTGAAGAACTGAGCCTAATTTTAAATTCCATATTACATAATAACAGCAGCAACAGTTTATGAATCTTTCATTCATGTTTCCGAATCTGTTGTTTTCATTACGAACTGCTGATCGTAAAAATTGGAAGAAATTAACTGCAGCTTTGATTAGCCGAGGTAATGTAAAGTTTCTGCATTATATAATACGTAAACATTTAGCTTTTGGGTAATTCTATGCGTTGTGGCAAATCGTTTTGTGTACATCAGTCACACTGGAATTTCGATTCCTCTCTGAAGTGTGAGTTGAATGAATGTGCAGAGTGAAGATTCTCGGGAGAATTATGAATGAGAGCAATTCAGTGATGCACTTGAAATGAATGAGAAAAGTGCAGTGACAGTGTGCAGCGGTAGTGCAATGTGCAGAATGAGGACTGAGAGTAATGCGACATCATGCGAATTGGTCATGAAAATTGAAGAAATACAGTCAGCAACGAATAGAGTGCAGTCGAATAGCGTTCGTTGAAGGCAACAAACCAGAACGTATCCATGCATTACGTACTCGCATACACGACTGTACTCTCGCAGTGTTTACTCGATTTTTATGTCAGATTTCCATGATGTCTCGACATTCTCATTGCTGAGCATTGCTTCGCCGTTATATTGAAGCAATTTTCTCATTCACTTCAGACGTATCACTGATTCGCTCTCATTCATAGTTCTCGTAACGATTTGTATTCTATTCTTTTCTTAAGCTTGTTATTCCAGTGCGGTGACATTTATAATGCTAACGAATCGTGTGGAGCAGTTTGGCAGAATAGGACAAACTTGTATCGAAGTAAGGATATATCAGTTCTTGCAGATTTTGCACATTACAACGGATAATGCGTGAACTGTTTCATGATTCGACTTGTTTTTTTTTTAAATTTCTTGTTTCATATTGCTGCTCTGATAATTGCTAGATAATACATATTAATATTAACGAGTTACCGCTCCATTTCTCAAAATTTCGGCCCCAGCAGTTGCTTATGTTTGCGAAGTAATTTTTTGTTCCATATAAAGTTTATTTTTTTCGCAAAATTATTTCAGTTTATCGTCACGAATTACAATCATAAACAGTGGAAGAAAAGCAGAAACAGATAATCAGATACTAGGCAGCATTTGTAGTAGTAAACTCTGAAGTATTTCTGCGAAAAGGAAGCAAAACATTAACTTAAGCAAAAGAATTGTAGAACACAACGTGAATTTATCGAAGTCAACTAAATTAGCCGGATCAGTGTGCTTGTAAAGGGATGTCGAATGTGGGAATTCTAGAATTTCATTGAAAATGGTGCGAAATTCTAAAATTTAAGTGAGAATGATGTGGGAATTCTAAAATTTACTCTTTTGATATTCGAACTAAGACAAATAATCATATTCTAACAAAAACACACGTTTCTGATCGTAAGCAAAACATTCCTTTTCAAGCATTTCAGCAGAACATATCATAACCAACAACTATGACATAAGAATTTTTTTATTATTATCATCATTAATCATCATTTTTATCATTGACTAAATCTTTGTTAACATTATCACTATCGATTACCATTATCACGATTGTAACAAAACAGTTATTGTAACACTTTTTCATAATTATTACTGTTGTCGTTATCATTACTGATAATTTTTTAATCAATCTCGTCAATATTATTTTCGTTGTTGTTATTATTGTTATCGTGGTTATTATTCATCATATTAATATTGCTAATCATATTGTTGTTGGTATTATTACCACTCGGTCTAACAAGTTTCTCAATAATAGGATGGCTATCGATTCTGGTCAAGTAAACAGCAGATCGTCGCATGCTCATCGAAGGCAGAGGCAGCCACGCATCCGCTCTAAAGTCGAACTGTTCCACCTCGGAGATGGTACCAACTGCACCCGCATACCCTCCAGCTACGACAATTTGATCATTCAGTGTTTCGATACCAAAATTCGATCTGAAATTTTATTTTCTAATGAAATGTGAATGATAAAAATCACAAAATGTAAATACCAATGAGAGCTGTAATGATTTTAAACATGGTATCAATAGTAGCATTGCATTTCATTTGGATAGCGCTCATTGAATTTTAAACTTTCAGTGAAAATGGAATATCAGAAATTTTAAGCTGTTTCATTAAATCTCTCAATGAAATATTCATTTTTGCAGATCCGCAATAGATTAAACTGACTGTATCTTCTGATCAGAACTGTGAAATTATTTTTAATCACTACGTTTGATCGTTAAGTTGCTGAGTTATTATGTGAGCACTGTTATAATCTTATCGTAATACTCGTGACTGCTTTGTTGATTATTGTTGAATAAAGATATTAAGTGCTAAAAATCAACTGTTAAACAATTGTATTGCAGCTGCAGTTGTTAATCGCAGCAATTTCGTAAAAACTGAATGAAAATATAATTTTTGGTTTGTTATCGTTCGTTATTATTTACTGAATTGACGCAATAAAGACTGATGTTGCAGCTGAACATATCATAGTCAGCACACCAAAGCACACACCATTCTTTAGATTCTGTTCTTTGTGTCGAAGAAGTTTCACGTGTAGTGAAATAAATCAAATAAATCATTAAAAATGAACCTCGGATTGCTCATTGGTCGCAAAGAATGCCAATGTCCTTCTCGTAAATCAATAAATTCACATGAGTTCAACCGAACTGATCCGTCGAAACCACCACATACACAAAGTGCTCCCTCCACAACTGCAGCCCGAACTCCGGAGCGCTTAAATTATCACAAAATAAAAGAATATTCGGAAAATGGCTGAAATAACCTCGGAATACCGATAGGAACTATGAATTGGTAAACATTTATTTTATGCGAAATCATCAACAATTATCCCTATTTTAGTTTCAGATCTCTTTGATATAGCAAGAGGAATGTGATTCCCTCAATTTGGGTGAAACAAGATGGTATTGTGAATGAGCTAGTTCATTTCATTTCATATTCTGTAGTAAAGAGAAGCAGAGAATGAAAATAGAAAAGAGTGCGAGAAGTGAGAGAAATATAGAATGAGAGCACTAAATAATATGCAAAATTTCAGTTTCTACCCATCAACTCTTCTCAAAAATATGAGTTTTATCAGGAAACGGTTCCGACGAATGTTTCAGAAGGTTTTTTCGAATAGGGGACGGAAGCGTATCCTGTGAGATTGGAGGATATTCCCCTAAATTCCCTTTTTCTGACGTTCATCCGTGACAATTTGATAAAATAAACTTTGCAAGTTTTAAATATGACTGATGCTGATTCCCCTCNCCACCGATCGCATAGATTTTATCATCATTGACTATGCAATGACCGTCACTCCTTAAAATAATTTATCACCATCACTATCATTTTCATCACCGGCATTATTATTATTGAAAACAGTCAATTTTGATACACTGCCACCGTTCAGGTTTACTTCTTCTTAAACACCGGTGACATCCTCAGGTTCGTTGATGTTATCAGTCTCATTTGATATTTATTGTAGTTATGAGCAACTCAGACCTTAGAGTTAGTTTATTAAAGGCAAAACCTAGATTACAGCCGAACTGCACTTATCAGTGTCCTTATCATGGCTTCTAGATTAGCATAATTCCTTATCATTACTGGCACTATCTCATTATTATCAGCAGTTATATAACTGTCATCAATGTTTCTGCTAGGATTATTTCCTTGATACAGTGTGTTGCGGAGATCGGGGAACTTCGGGGATCCCGTCTCCGACCCTCCGACATTAACGTCTCACCTTTTAACACTCATTTCGGCGATACGTCTCCATTGATTTGTGGGAATATTCAAGATTTCAGCGCTTTTCAATCGGTCGTGATTGTCATAACCTCCTAACGCAACAATTTGATTTTCATTCAATCGTGCACAAGCCACATAACAGCGTTGGTCATACATTGGAGCTTTCTCCACCAGTTCCTTTAAGTTTTTCAGAGCATTGCTTTGATATTCTATGCAATTTTTGAAGTTTTATTAAGATTACATTGCGATATAATGCAATTCTTCATAAATTCTAATCGAAACTGAATCAGACATTCTTATACTGATCAGCGCCTTTACTCCACGTTCATTTTTTTTGAACTCTTTTCTATTTTCATTTCCTATTCCTCGTCGCAGTTTACGATGGAATAAAAACGCTGTGCCGAAGAATTTGAATTACTGATATTGTCATTGTTACTGATATATCATATGGCGTCATTACTAATCATCAGTATTATTACCTGTGTATCTAAATTGAATTTTCTTGTCGAGCGATAATAATTCGTCCCATTGAATCCTCCAATCGTAAACAGATCCTTTCCAGTGTTCACAACACCGTGATATGCCCGAGGTGTTTCAAATAACTGTATATCTGATTGAACCCACCGCTGCGCTCGTAGATCCAGTGTTTCCACAACCATCGTTGGTCCATTACTTGACCATCCACCCATAATCAATTTCATTTGGTGATTTTATTGGTATTGCCATCATTATCATTGCTATTTGAACAGAACTGATATCATTTTATCACTGTTATGAACAGTATTCTCATTGTTGCATCATGATTAGCGTGGCCGGAGGTGGGCAATATCATTCCCATCACTAAATAGCGAAAGTTAGCGAAAAAGCTATCTCGCTATTTCGGTAACTACAGAAGTAGCGGGACAACCCACTTCTAAGCGTTGTTTCTGTCGTTTGATGGAGCTGCTAACGTTAGTATCATTATTCGATGTCACATCGACATCATTGTTCATATAATCATTGTTTTAATTACATTGATCATCGTTAACGTCATTACCATCTTTTATTCGTTCCATATTACTGTTATGACTGTTATCAGTATTATCATCGATACCAGTCAATTTTATCTCACTGAAATGTTACATCAAAATTCCAACTGACCACTCGCAACGAGGACACTATTCGGTATCCTCGAACCAAACTCATAATATCCAACGCCAGTATTCTTCGCGTTATCCAGAAACCGTTGTAAAATGTCAACACTGTTTCCATTCCAACGATTTTCCTAAAAGTCATACACATACTACATTTCAAGTTCAAAGAAATTTTCCTGTTCTTTCAAGAAATAAACGAAACCATTCCGTTTTTCCATTCAAATAAACATATTCTTAATTTTGAAGTGATTTTTTTGGAAGTTGTGAATAAAACTTATGAAATTATTTGAATTTACTTTAGTGTTGATCGACAATACTACTGATGATCTCGTCGTGTTTATCGCTATTCGTTTGAGTATTTAATAAGTTTTCGATGGAAACTTGTTATTTTACATCATTTTAGAAATTCGATCGCCACAATGAGCATAAATGTGTGAATTTAATTACCTAGCATTCATTAATTTCAACTTCAAATCTCACTTCTTAAATTTATTCCACCCTTCTTGTTCAAGCAAAGACTTTGAAGGTTCTGTTGGAATAACTTTGAGATGAAAAACATATTCTGGGGAAGTTTCAATGAAATCAGAGCTAGGAATGTGCACAATGATCAGTTTATCGTTCTATATTTCTCTCGTTTCTCGAACTGTTTTCCACTCTCATTCTCTATTCCTCTTCGCAGCGCACTATGAAAGCGGACGAGTTCGTCACGAAGCAGCAATGTTTCAATATTTATTTGGTCATGATCATTATTCAAGTGTCTTTCATTCATAATCATCACTATCATTTTATCTGTATCAATGCTATTTGTGATAGTTTTGTTGATATAATAATAATGATGACTCAGTAATGATAATAATAATGATAATGATAATAATAATGATGAATAATAATGATTTCGTTGATAATGATGACTCAGTTACCAAAAAGCATTCGACTGACCTTAATCCAGCGTTCAACCATTACCGTTTCTTCAGTACGTCCAATATTCAGATGTTTATCTTTAAGCAGTCTTATAATCTCTTCTTCTGTCAGGCTAGAAGATTTATTTTGTCATTGCGCTCATGAAAAGGTTTTCAGGTAGCCATGTTTATGAGTGCCAACCGAACGATGTCACAAAATTCAAAAGCCAAAAATATTAATATTACTCGAAGTATGCGTCGCCCGCCAGGAGTTTATCAAATTCTCGAACAATCAAGTCCCATAACCGTTTTGCAAGTGGATGATAGCGATTCTCTGAAATCAATCGATCATTGTTTCATATCAGTGTTATTTTTGCTATTAGCAATATCCTTTCCGTTACTAAGATGTTCAGTGTCATCTCATTGCTGTCTTTCATTCTTCTTGAATAAAAATTCCCTACTGCAGTGCATTTGTCAAATTATTTGTTTTGACTAACAGATCAATTAAAGTACTGCGATTCCGTTTCGAAAGATCGACGTTGAACCGCGGAATCGAAATCGTAAGCCATATGCTTGAAATTTAAAGAAGAGCTATTCTAACCAGCATAATGATAAACAGCAACTAATTTCGATGCTGGTGTTATGCCTATGATTCGATCTGACAACACCTGAAGTGCCGGTTCTATCAGAAGATATGAGGCAATATCCAGTAACTGAAAATGAACACTATTACGATTCAATGATATTGCTACTCCAGATTACGGCAAAATCCTAAATCCGTAGATTTCTCTCATGTCGTATATATGGTGAAACATGATTGCCGGTCATTGTAATCAATATTGAACATCGAATATCAGAACAAAATTCGCTTCCGTCATATTTTTTTGGATTTATTACGAGACTGCCAATGATTTTAGCATCCAAAATGTTGAATCCTTATAATGTTTGTAATTTTACTTGGATGGTAGTGACGGATATACGTATGATGCTCATTAGACTGAACATTCTTATGCATCAACTTTTCCTTCATTTGCATGATATGCACCATTGATGTATAAACCATGATGCATATCATATAAATAACTGCTATCAAGTGATAAAACTGGATCACCAGCAGATACACAAAACTCAAATTCATAAACCGAATTTCTAGGCAGACAACTTGATGCTATGAGATAAAATGACCACATTTTTCCATTAACAGCAGCAGCATATTCATTTGCAATACGTCTCAATACTGCTATCCAATATCCAAATCAAATTTACTTCGAGAGCTTTTTCGATACTGATCGATGTGAGCGATGGATCAATGTTCTCTTTATCGTCACTGATCAAATGTCGAACAAATTCCAAACAATTCAAAAATTTATCCGACTGAAAACTTGTCACGTTTTGATATCATTGGCCTTACAATGAGTAATATTATTACTATTATTACTGCTAATTTCAGTATGAAAATTTATCTGATCGTGGAATTAAACTGGAAGATACTCACTACATATCATCATCATTCTATAATTCTCTCGTTTCTCAGACTCTTTTCCATTTTCATTCTCTGCTTCTCTTTGCGTCTCACTGTGGAACATGATACGCTCATTCGTAGAATAATAAGTTGGAATTATTTTACGACTATTTTATCGTAATTACAATTACAATCACTATCATTTAAGGATACTATTGTTCTTATTGATATTATCAATATCATTGTTATTAAAGTTGTCGCCATTTTGACACAAGTATTATAAATGTACTATTTCCTGTTGCCGACATCATCCTCTGTGGCTAAAATCGCCCACATACAACCCAGATTATTCTGCTCTTCAGTGATAAGTTACCTCAGGATCACCGAACATGATCTGTTTCGTTCTTGCTTCTTCAAAGTTTCCAAAGAATGCCGCACGGAAATACGGCGAGATTTGTGCGAATTCAAAGCAGTCCAGTTTAACCTGCAAAGGAATGCCATGAAACTGATTATTTCTTAAGAAACCACTGATATGATAATGAAGGATACGAGTTATTGAATGTAACTGTACCATTTTATTGCCTTCCAATAAGACTGCACCTTGATCACACTCATTATTGATGTTTAACACAGTTCCATTCTGTTGTTTGTCATTTGCTTTTTCATCACCTACGAAATCTGAATGAGGAGGAATATCCAGGGCAACATTGTGCCTCGCTGCTTCCAGTAATGCTCTTCCAATGTGCAGAATTCCCGTGCTCCAACTGCTCGTTTCTGTTTCAGACAACGCTTCTCGCAAACTTTCGCTCTAAAATCATTGTGAATGGATGAGTTCAGATCAAGATTGAACCAATTTTCTGAAATGAATGCTGTGTTCAGTGCATCCTTCACTTATTTCAAACAGCAACAGCTCAGACGTCATAGTCCAAGCTTCAGTTATACAAGAGAACAGAAATTTTCCACGATACGATTCCAGAATTGGAAAATGCATCATTCTTTCAATTACTGAGTTGTATACTTCACTTCTCCTGTCTCTACGACAGCTATTCTCTTGTGTTATAGCAAGTGTGCGATTCGCATCTCATATAAGAAGACAGCTGATGAAAATACCGATTTAACAGAGTCCATTTTGTTCGATAGTTTGATTATTCTTCACCTGAACACTCCCGGCTAAAACTATTACGGACAGTCCTGTTCAGGTATCCTCAGGACCGCCCTATGGCTTAGAAAAAATTCGAATGACAATGAAGTAATCCTGGCTTCATATTTATACTGGTTGATTTGCTTGCGGATCAGTTTATGAATTGGAATCAAATTTCAAATGCTACGAACGTTTTGCATTTCAGACTTGATAGTTCGTTGTCTCCATCAGAAATTCAATTGTCATTCATTTACTATCTCGGCTTCATTTTTATCCTATATGAAATATTCATAAAATTTATGAAATCTGAATCATATATGTACAAAAAATAATTTATCTGATAGATAAGTCTTCACGATCGATTTGTTTGATGTGATTGGGTGCAGATCAATTTATAGTGATGATCACTTTTAAATCATATGAAGTTCTCCCTGAGGAAATAAATTTAATGGTTCGTGATGACATGGGTAGAATTTTTTGTATGTTGAACTAAGAAATTTGATTGAATGCGAAGATATAAAGACGCGTGTGAAATTTTATTGATAATGAAATGGAACGCTCTTAAATGTAAAATTGGTGTTACTGAAAGACTGCATTAAGAAGATTTTATAATTTTAATGATGTTGAAAATTTCACATTTGTTTTTTTCCT